TGTATGGTTTTTCGGGCAGAATCTGAATTTGGTAGCTTAAAGATGGGATCAAACCAGTGAGGCTCTTTTTTATATTCATTCATTGTTTAGATACTTTAATGTTGCTGTGGAGGGTAATATTGGATGTGGGAAGTCCACCTTCCTGAAGTTTTTCGAGAACATTTCACCGAATATTGAAATAGCACTCGAGCCTATCGAGCTGTGGAACAATGTCAAGGGACATAAGCTCTTCGTGAGACGTTAACACTATGTCAATATGTCCTGAATGTTTAGGAAATATTTTATGGTAACCCCTTGAAATGGAGCACACCTTTCCAAAGTCAAGTTCTGGTCACTTTTCTTAATCGACAAACCAAGCCGCAAGTAAGAAGCTTGAGTATTACCCATTACTTACTTTACATATGCTATGTTGCAATATGGGTAATTATTTTTCTTTTAAATGTTTTCTTTTATGTTTGAAAAGACTCCCTCGGGCCTTTTATCTTAAATATATTGAAATTGAAAAAACATTTTTTCACTGAATATTTTTCGGTGACTATAAAATCACAATTCATCTGAACCCTCCTGCCGCTAGGCCATCTTCTCTTCTTTAGCGTTAAGACCGCATTTTTGAAATCAAAAGGAAAGCTGTCGATACCCTGTAAACACCAGCCCCACCTGGCTGCCGAGGCCAGACGTGGCCAGAGATAGTACGCACTGATATTCGACCTCGATAGCAATGTCCTGGAGCATCAGGTCCCTGTGCTGCTTGGTTGCAGTGCTGGATGGTAACACGGACGTGTGGACAGAAGAAATGAACATGCGCGAAAATAAGATTATCACATTCAAGTGTTCGAGATCGCAAGGTTTTCATAAGCAGACCGTTTATGTGCCGAACGGGTATCAAGATATGATCTGAATGCGCATTTCCAAGACCTCGAGAAAGAAATCTGTACCTGAATTTTGTCTACAGTGACTGCGGAGACACAGAAATGAGTACTAAAAGTTTCTTTCGTGTAACCGAAGCTATTTCTTTGGGTTGATTTCCACCCGGACTTTGCCCTAACTGCTTCTGAAAAATCGAATTCCCTATCAACCTGTCCTTGTATCTTTTCGAAGTATTAAACAATACGTACGTGTTGTTCCTAGATGGCGCCTGTTCGACTGATGGAACGGTCGAGCCACA